CTTGGAGCGCCGGGCAGGGACGGAGCGAAGGTCGCGGGCTCGCAGGCACCGACACCAGCGCTCCCGACCTTTAAAACTAAAGCGAGGAAGGCGTAGCGCCGGCCGGGGTAAAGGATGGGTGAGTACCTGGCAGGCAGGAGGGGGTGTTGGAGAGCCCGGTTCATCCATGCACCCTGTCAAGAGACTTCTGCAGAATTAATTTGGCCATAAAAACACACATTTTAGGTGATGGTGACTCCCCAGAGATTTGCTGATGAGCCATTTCGTGTCATCCCGTCACAAGGAAGAAATGGCAGTGTTTTAACTTCAGGTTTTAGGATTAGGAGGAGAAATTTTGCAAGAGAGGTAGGAGAAGGCAGTAGCAGAGAAACTGAGTCATGCACAAATGAGAGTACACAGCAGGTACGCACATGGTAAACTTCATTTGAACTTGTTTACAAAATTGACAAAAAAATATCACCTTGTAAACTTATTCACATTTGTTGGAGCTCACAGAACTGGTTATACTGGCATGCTGAAATAAAGATTGTCAAGCCTCATCTCACCCTGGAGGACACACAAGTGAGTTGACCCCTTACAGCAGCAACAAACTCAGCAAGGAACAAGATTTAAAGCTTGCATTGGGAGGGAATTTCTCCAGCAGTTTTTGTACCACCAGGGAAAGGGCTGGGTCTGATTCCTGATGCTTCCCCAAACAGAGGAGCACCAGCACAGGCAGTTTGGGTGGAATCTGAAAGCTGTGATGAGCTTTGGGTATCACCTCACCCAGTGCAGTCAAGGGCCATCAATTGCATCAGAAATGGAAGCAGTGGAGAAAAAGATGGAATTTATCAAGTAATACTTTGTCATTTCCTGAATTCAAAGGCCTCCAAAGAGCACGGACCCTGTTCCTAAATGGGACCATTCAGGGAAGGAGGGAGGAAGGGCAGGAGGAGATAAGATGCACAGTACTTTTTTTTTACATAAACAAAACTTAAGCATTTCCAAAATGACCAGCAGCTTAGCCCTCTGCCATCCCATCTGAGCTGCAGGACAGGAGCTCAAAACCACACTGCTCAACCTCAGCAACTGCAGGAGGACAAAATGGAAGTAAACTGAAAATATACTTGGATGCATTTTTTTGGTAACCACTTCTGGTTTCACTCTCAGACCTCAGATTTCAGAAATGGAAGCACACAGACATTGTTATTTCTGAGATACCCACACATTTCAGTAACAGTCAGATCATAAACGATGAACAAGAATGACTTAAAAATAAAACCAGACTTCATCAGTTGTATTCCAGGGAATGAACCAACACCATGCAGGCCTGGCCAGGAGCACCTTCCTTTGAAAAATCAGGGAAGAGCTTCACTCTACCCTCAAAGGCAGGGCAGCTCCTGCCAGGGCTCACCTCCAGCACAGATGAGTTAACAGAGTTAACATCACTAAACCCAGGAATATTTTTGGTATAGTGTCCCCTCCCCAACCCCCTGAACAAAAACCCAACAGTGGGGACTGCATCAAACAGCACAGTCCCAAATATTAAAGCAATTACAGTTAATAGAAATAATCCTTCACTTTCTACACCCCAGGCTGCTTCAGAAAGCACTGTAACAAACAGGAATAAAACATTACAAAGATGAAATCTGATCTCTTTAGACTTTGAGGTACATTATCAGCAGTTGGGTTATCAGTCTCCAGAGTTAAAACAGATCCACCCTGTGTGACTGGACAGCACAGCGAGGTTCTTGGAAGACATTCCTGTTCTCCCTGGGGCAGTGTCCAAGGGATTCAGCTCCACCTCCCTGCTCTGAGGGGTCCCTGGTGCCAGGGCTCCCCTGGCTGGGCTGAACTGAGCAGACTTAGGGGAGAAAAACGAGTGGAGTGTGTATATAAATAATTCACAAACTGGTTTGTGCAAATTTTTTTTATTTCCACATTTATATCACAACGTGTCCACTTAAAGGACCAAATAGCAAAGTTGCTCCCTTCTGCATCCCAGGAACACAGAAGTCTAGTTACTGTACATTCACTAAGGCTCTTTGTTTTTGCAAATTGCGTTTATGATGGATATCCATAAGGCAAACAATATCTAAAGGAATGGTAACAAGTATATTTCCAGCATACAAACAGGCTTCCTTTTTCCCTCTCACAGTACAGTTACAAACTTGTAGCACCCTCATTACATTTAGATTCTAAAAAAGGTGATTTTTTTTTCTTTTTTTTTTTTTCTTTTTGTCTTTTTGTTTTTTTTGTCTTTTTTCTTTTTTACCTATAAGTTTGCAGGAAGGGAAAAGGAGGAAAAATATTTGGCTGGTGGTGGTGGGATCAAAAAATATCGTTAAACATCTAGTTTTTGCAGCATTTCTCAGAGACTGGATTTAAACTGAAACCAGACTAAAATATGTGGATGCCTATGGAATGTTGAGCTGAAGCTGGTGGCCCAGCCTGCAGTGCAACACCTGCTGTTTAAAACCCAATCTCCGTACCACATGACTCTTAACTCAATCATGTTTCAGAGATGTGATAGAAATAAAACTACAGTTTTTGCACATTGTCTCTCGAATATCTCACTGCCAAATAAAAACCCAAATCAAGTCAAATAAATAGATGCATATTTTGTTAAGGTAACTTCCACAATTTTTTTTTTTTTTTCTCTGTACCTGCCTGTAATAAGATTCCGGCATTCAGAAAGTGCTGGAAATCCTCTTCACTTCTTGGGGACTAACACTTTTTATAGCTGGCTCGCTATAAGAGTTTTAAACTCAACTGATCAAACCTTCGTATGCCTTCCTTTTGCAATTGTTAGTAAACTGGTAGCAGCATTTCACAAAAAGGAGAATTTAAAGGAAAGAGCTGGAAAAGGCCCAGCTCCCTCCCCCCCTCTGCTCGTGGGGCCTGTTTGTCCAGGACAGGAGGCTCTCTCCAGCTGGAAGTGGCATCAGTGTCTGCCAGTTCTGCTAAGTGCAGGTGGGAAAAGCGTGCTTAGCAGGACTGCTCTCAGTCTAGGCAGACGTAAGGCAGGATGTTCAATCTCCCATCATCCCCGTGTGGATCT